AGAGATAAAATTACTTGTATTGCAAAACAGTTAGATGGTGTTACCCATGATCAGACTATTGTTTGTACGCAGCAATTTACAATTCACTGATCAGCTATTGGCTTATGGAATGCATCAAATGATAATAAATCCTATGCCTACCTCCATCATTATTAATCCAAAACATAAATATATTCATGGTTCCAACCTCTGTAATCTGTGAGGAAAAAAATATGTGAACTGTGAATATCTATTAATTAAAAGTGGTGCTTCGAGAATCATAATCAGCTGATTATATTTTCTTCCTCTATACAAAGAATTCTCTTATTTTATATTTTCTGACCTGTCGCTCTTCACCATACAACCACAGAACCTGTTGTAAGCCTTGCATTTCTGCATGTCTTTGAGCAAGTATGGTAGGACCATAATTTCTGTTATGAAAATAAACAAAACATAAATATATCTAAAATGATTGTATTTTCTAAAAATGTTAGGAAACATTTTTAAACAGCTTAGAGAGGAATCTGCTATTTTTCACAAAAAGACATGGACACAACTACCCATGAACTGAACATCATTTGAAGCAAAACTCCTAAACCATTATTTGTGAAAGCATTACTTAGCAGGTTGCATGGTACGCTCTTGTCCAGTGAGAGGGAAGAAAAGAATTCTTTGCATTGTGGGTTATCAGTAATACTTCCCAAGCCATAATGTTTTCTACAGAGTAAATTCTAAGATACATACCCTCCCATCTTACAGTCTCCAACACCTCCAGGCCAGGCTCTGACAAAAGAAGGATCAGCTAGCAGTGCAACTGGACTGAATGTCCCTGTCTTGAAGTATGGTCCAACAGGAGACAAGATGACATACAGCAGGGCTGAGGACGTCTTGTTTACACCAAGATTGGGCTTAAGATTAAAAATTTAGGATGGAGGAAGGATTAGAAATCTTGCCACTTTACAAACAGGCTATAAGAAAATTGTTACTTCGGTGAACAACTTCTGCATTCTGATTGGCTGATGCACTCCCTGTCAATTCACTCAATTGGCATACAATGAAATAGTAATAGAGAAGTAAAATAGTTTTAGCTGAAGAATACTTAATGAAAATTACCAAAATAGAAAACAGTTCAAGTCCAGGAATGATAGTTGAAT